GAATGCCAAAAGCCACCTTAGTTAATGTTCACAACATCCCAAGCTTCTTTTTTCATAAATTTCCAAAAGCCATTTTGAAAATAGCCCAAGCTATTTCGGAAAAACAGCCCAGCATAAATTCTGTTTCGGAAATCATAGGTAATTCACGACACCAAGGAGTCAAGTTCTCGGAAAGCAAGCAGCCCGCTAGAATCCAAAGCAGCAAAGCATTGGGAAAACAAAGACTGGCTGAATTCCCAAAGGTAAAGTATAAAAATCAGTAACTTCCCCATTAATATATTGTCTTGAATTCAGCCACCAAGCCACGGTTCTCATTGAATTCAGCCACCAATAAAGAGCAAGCCATGGAATTAAGCCATAATTAAGAACAGGCCACGAATTCCTAAGAGACAAGAAGAAAGGGGAAGGGGAAGGGGAAGGGATAAGGCCACTCCAAAAGTAAACTTTTCTTAATGAGGTACCTTTTTTGGATAATAATGAGCTACTAAACTTCAGCTCAAGCAACTTAGAGAATCAGCTCAAAACCGAATGCTCCAAAACAGCCAACCCGTGAACCACCAGCTGCCAGGGATCAATCGAGCCAGCAAACCAAAGGTCTACCAAGCCATATGCACTACCTACCATGATCATTGGATGCTTTCCCATCATTTGATAGCTAAAAAAGAAAAGAAAACAAAATACAATATTGTTCAAATAAAATAAGAAGTACATAAATTCCTGATAGCATCAGATTTTCAAGCCTACCACATAATGTAAAGATGAATTTTTATCAAAATTTCTATTGAGACTTTTGTTAGACACTTATGATAGTATGATGGTGGTAGGTTGTTTGAATGCTCTCTATTTAATGTACACTATGCACAAACAAATGTCTTAATACTCATCACTCAATAAAGTTCACATATCTCAAACCAAATATAATATATATGATGACATTCTCTAAGTTGACAACACAACTATCATCTATAGTCACTCTAGCTTTTTCAATTGGATGATTAATATTTAATTCAAATCGAAGAATTAAAAAAAAATCATAACAGTAGACTAAATGAAAGTAAATATGAGAAAATTTGACTCGATTGATCAAAATTATCGGTTATAGACCTAAATTTAAGCTCGATAGATCCTAGTCGATCTAAGGGTATTAGTGAGATATGCTCAAATAGGTCGCTTTGCACAAATTGTAAAGTCCATATTAAAAAATCCTAGATTCAAGGCAATAATTTTTTTGCATGGGCTACCTAAAACCTATGTCAAATAGTTACAATTATTTAATATCTCTCAAGAAATCAAAATGATTCCCATTAGAGAATAAGATGACTTTATAAAGAAAATATTCCAAAACCGGCCTTCCAATTGATTTAAGACCCATTCTAATTAAGAATGGGCCTTTTAATGGATATAAGCCCCAATCTAATTAAATTCGGGACTTTCAATGGATGTAAGCTCTATCCAAATTAAATCATGACATTCCAATGGATATAAGCCTAAACTCAAATCATATTCAGGTCAACTTGTATGCCAACAAACTCACCAAATTAATTAAGTATCAAAATTATAATCTATATGCAATCACGTTGGTGTACTCAGGATCCCTGAGAAGAGGCAACCCATGACTGCTAATTAGATTCTATGGACGTTAAGGCCTATGATTTGTTAATGTTGGTTGATTGAAATTACTAGTATGGTTCGGAATGATGAACCATGAGATCTTGATCAGTTCAACCCCATCTCCCACAAATATGTCCCATTAGTTGAAATTTGTCTTAGAGTATTAAGCTTAAATTCAAAACCATTTTAAGGTGACTCATCCTTAATTGAGAGTGCTATCTCATGAGTGGGAGGGTTAATTAATTATGAGGGCTTGTACTCATAGGAAGTTGAGACCCTAGATCTAAATAAATCCTGACATAAACATCGAGGCAAATCTAATTAATTAAAAATTAATCTATCTCATGAAAAATGGAATCCTAACCTAGAAGGTGAGGTTCGAGCATCATTTTTCCTGAGTGAACAGAGCTTGTCTAAAGTTGTCAATACTTATTTTTATCAATGGGCTCATTGTTAGTGGTTATCCCTATTTTCTTTGTTGAATCCATTATAGTTTTTGCAAGCTTACATCCAAGCTTTCATGTTTCTTAAAAATCAACAATATACTTTGTTTGATAAATAGCAATACCTTATTGTTGGTGTTACACTTCCATAACAAGTATTTTAGGTTTTCCATGTGTTTACCTCAAATTTTCTTGCTAGAAACTCTTTAATCTGGCTAGCTCTTCTACAAAGTCACCCGTTAATGTAATATTGTATGCATACATGAGATGAACTGTCCTTTCATCTTTAGTTGAATGCTTGATAAAAAGAGTGATTTGACACTGCTTGTAACCACAGTTTTTATTATGTTTGGAGAATGTATTAAACCAGGTATGAAGAGATTATTTGATCCCATGTAAATATTTTTTGAGTTTATGTACATTATTGATATTTTTCTAATTTTCAGCCTATATGGATCTCCATGTCTACTTCGGCTAGATCCCCTTTATAAAATGCATTCTTAATGTTAAGTTAATATTAGAGACCAATCTAAATTTATTGTCAGAGATAGTGAAGTTTGAATTGTGATGTGTTTGATTATTAGAGAGGAAGTTTCTTCATAGTCAATATTATTTGATTGGGTATGTCCTTTTGCAACAAGATGGTTTTTAAATTTAACCATACTCCCCAAACATTATATTTGACTGAAATTTTTTCTTATCTAATCGGTTGTTTTCTTGGTGGAAGTTTAGAAATTTCTCATTCACCTTTCTTTTATATGGCCTGGATTTCCATTACAACTTTCTTCTACTTAGGTGGTTTGAGAGCTTTAGGGATATTATTTGGAATTTATATTTTATCAAGAGAAGTTACAAAAGCTCAAAATCTTGGTGAAAGCCCTTTGTAAGTCACGAAATTATAAACTAAGTGTTTGGTGAGTAAAGAACAAGTTGAACAAGTTACACAAACCCTCACATCTGACTGCTTGGGAATCATTTATGTCTAGAATGTAGCTCTTTACCTAAACAAGGAATTACAATAATTAATGTAAAGAACAAGTTGCACAAGTTAATGATCAAAGTGGCAACATGATCTTGACCGAGAAATAACTTTTATCATTTGAATTGTTATTTTAGGGCCCGTTGAATAGAGAACTCAAGATATGGGTCTCTGCTAGTGAAGAAGGTTGGCTTTTACCAAGTGATTGTGAGTCATGGAAATGCAATCAGACGTTAGACTTGAGAAGTTCCACCGAGCCCAGGCTTGAGGAGGCATTTTTCAATCAATTTGTAGTGCTGTCTCGAGCAAGTTTTATATTACTGGCAAATGCTAAGAAAAACGCCATCTATGCATTACATGTGGATTATGGTCCAAACCCAGCTTCAACACGTATGGACTACATAGCAGATTTTACTGTTACAATGCCGATCTTGAGTTTTACAGGTACTAGTGACTATATTTCTGATGCGGAACAGATTGTTCAAGTTTATTGTGTGCAGACACAGGCTATTCAGCAGTATGCATTGGATTTGTCTCAGTGTTTGCCTATACCTGTTGAAAATGAGGTGTCAGAGAAGCACGCCTCTACTGCTTTTGATGGGCCCATTTCAGAAGGATTCTCTGTTCCACATTCATCTTTTGGAGCTACAACTTATGATGCAACGCCTGCAAATTCCTCACCTGCACCTATTCTTATAAACCGTTCTGAAGATAACAAACACCAGGCACTTTCAGGTACCTCAGAGGCTACTGTTGTTCACGATCACGCTTCTTCAAATGTGGAACCAGCCGTGTCTGCCCCTCAACTTTCAAGTGTTGATAAAAGTACTGGAGATGTTGCATCTTCTTCCCCTTCTCTCCCATTGAATCTGGATTTTTCCGAGAAACTTCGTGCTGTGCAAGGTGTCTCAAGCGCTGGTGATCAGGAAAATTTACTTAGCACTGGTAGTATTGATAGCCAAGGTCATGATTCTACAGTAGAGAGGACATTGGATGCTGTAGTAACAAATGTTCCTGATGTTCCTCTGGTAGCTGAAACCTCTGGTAAGGAAAAAAACAAGGCTATAATAGATGCTATTCCTATGGTGCCAAATCCCCATGCATTATTTAAACCAGATGGTAAAACAGCGCATTTGGTAACTCCCTCTGAGATATTGTCAGGTGCCATTCCTCCTGCTGAAAGCAGTTTTCCCAATCAAGGGATTAGAAGTGAGGAGTTAGATGCTCAGAAGGTAAGTGATAAAAATGGTATTGTCCATGCAGAAGTTAAAGTTGTTGATGACAGGGCTTTGATCAAGCACGATTATTTGGATTCTGAAAAAGAACCTCGAGAAGCCCTTGCAGATCAGGGGAAATTAGTTAAGCATCCTTCTGCTGAACCAATCAATTTTGTTGAGAGAAAGGACTTTAAAACAGACGAACGTGATGCAGAGGGAATTCATACCCTGGATAATACTGTTTCTGAAAAATTAGATACGCCTTCGGCTGCAGGCAAGGAAGTAGCTGAAGAAACCATAAACAAAGATCTTCCCTTTGAGGATTCTTCCACCATTGGTACAAACTCACAGCCAACTTCAGATTTAAAAGCAAGCAGATTTAAAGAAAATCTCTTGCAAGCATCAGCTACTTTAGCACCTGTATCTATCCCCTTTGCCTCAGATTCTTTAGTTGAACATGGTCCCTCCATTGGCAATCATTCTACGGATGTTTTATCCCAACTTCGTCTCATGCAGGAGCTGTTGAACCAGGTAATGGTTAAATGCTTTAAGTTCTTTATTGATGATTACAGTTTCTTGTTTAAATTAAATAAATCAAGAACTGTGAGTAAAAAAAGCTGTTGTAAATGACAATTCACCTCTGAATAACAAGGATATAAGTTTCTATCTTATCCCATCATCATCCTATATTTTTTTGATAGCATAAAATATTGACCTTTTTATTTGATTTTCATATTACTAGTATTTATTTTACATTTTATAATGGTGGGAAAATGTTATGAATTGCACTTGAATGAAAAGTCTTTCCAAGCCTAACCTTTGTTTTTTGACTTTTTTTCAGCTGGTGGGAGTAGGGGGTTAATATTGTTAAAGCAAGTTGGGTGCTCAGGCAGATAAGGCAAGGCGAGTCCATACCGTCTTGTGCACATTTTGTACTAGCGCTATTATCGAGGTGTCTATGTGAGCACTATGGCTTTAGACATTAAGTAATGAAATGAGCGTGTTACCTTGATTTGAAAAATAAGTATGCTATATGTTGAAGAAAATACAGCAAATTCATTGGAAAATAGGAAGAGATGAAACTGAGGAACGCTAACTTGGGATGATATAGATAAGTTATTGGGGCTAGACCAATATACGCTACAAACTTGTGATATCGATGATACGCTTGTAAGATGCCATGATCTCATAGACATTCCCATGTTCAAAAGAGAGATTGTGAGTTTATGTTTCCCAAAACAACATTGTTCTTAAAGTTAATTATATCATAGGGGAAACTCTAGAAAAGTCTCAATTAAGAAATATCGTTCGTGCTTATGTTTATCTGAAATTGTAATTGATCTCTTCTGTTACAGAAAATTGTAGATTTTAAGATAAAGAGGCACTTTGTGGAGCGTTGCAGCATAGCCAACTAGAGAGTCTTCGATAAAGGTAAAGATGGCCTCGGCTTAAGTGGATATGGATTTATAGTATGGTGAAAGACATGTGAGATACAACCTTAGGATTGTGATTAAAAAAAATCTTAAGTCCTAGGTAGAAAAATCCCTTCATATTAGTTGCTTATTAATTTAGTATTTGAGAAATATATTCCCAGCATAAAGACATCCAAGAAAAAGTGAAAGCTAAAGAAGACAACATTAGTGATGGTGGAACTTACATCCTTAGACATTAGTTAATGTTTGGATCATCAAAATAGCTTTGAACTATAGTTCAAGAAAATTATAAGATGGATGATTCTCCGAAGTCTATGAGACTATAAGAGGGATTAGGATAATGATGATTGACCCTTGGGGGACTAGAGCAAGCAACCCTACAAGGAGAAGGCTAACCAAGAGGAGTTGACAACAAATTTAAAAAAAAAAAGAGAATCTAGCCAATGGAATAAGAATACAATCTAGGGAGAGAATGTCTATCTTAAGGAAGAAGATAGCCAACATAAATAGACTTATAATTGTACTGGGAGAAAGGTGAACTCATCCCAAAAAAAAAAAAAAAAAAAAAATCCTATAGAAGGCTATTTCTAAGAGAAATGATCCTCCTAGGAGAGGGAGGATTATCCTATAAAATGAAACTAAATTATCATGTGGGAAAGCGGTGGATTAATATTAATGAGAGGAATGGCTAATCATTTAAAAGAATATTCCCAAGAGAATTGATAATCTTAGAGGATAGAAGGCTATCCTATGGAGGATAAATGAATTATCCTAGGTAAAAAGTGCAATAAGGTGGGGGAAGAAATCCCAATCGATTTGACATGATGGCTATTAGAGAAGAAAGAGGATGGTCATATCTAAGGAAGATGAAGTGCCTCATGCAGAGTAGGAGAGACTAATCTACATGAGAATGGCTTCCTTAGGTATGACCATGAGAATGGCTTTGGTCAAGATCATGAGAATGGCTTCAGTCAAGATCTCATGGTTGTCTATTATTTTGGGTGTCTTAGCTTTTGGTCTATTGAGTCAAGGAAGATGATCATACTTCCCTAACCTTGAGTATCCTTCTCAACAACTATAGGTCGCGTCGTCCAAGGTATTTCATAGACTTGGAGGTGTTAGTTGACATGATCTTAGGTGGACAAAGAAGACTTATACTGCCAAACAAATTGAGGGAGAAGAGCGAAAAAGTGGGGCTTTGGACACTAAGAATTGAGAATCTTATAGATCATAGAAAATACTTGAGGATGTGGGACGGATGACAGCCATTGATCTTCAGCTTCTCGGATAGTCATGGACGGTTGGATGTCCGCATCAGAAACAAAATGAGCACCTCCATATCCGATAACGCAAGTTTAAAACTTGATTGCAGCGAGCTATCACAGGGTGATATGGATCCACATTGACCTTGCCTCATTTAGTTTTTATTATATGTTTTGGTGATTATGAGATATTTCTTTGGAAAAATTTCTCTGCCCATATATGTGAACAGCCGTTTCATGTTTGCAATAAGAAAAAATGTTGTCTTTTTTTTTTTTCTACTCATACATTTAGTGATGGGTTTCTTAACAAACCATGGTGATTTAGATACGCTGCTGCTCTTGCTGTGATATCATATAACTACAAGCTTTTATCTAGTTACGAGCCTTGTTTTTGGTTACACTTTTCCGAGTCTTGATTTTTTTTTCCTTTTTAATGCCTAAATGTCCTTTGTTGTCTTGTTGTTTTATGAATCTGACAATTTTTACTGAGTGCCATGCAGTTAGCTACAAACCAGAAGGAGATAGAGAAGCAGATGGCTGAGGTAATTTGTGCTCCCGTAATGAAGGAAGGGAGAAGGGTGGAAGCTGCTCTTGGTCGGAGCATGGAGAAATCTATTAAAGCGAACATGGATTCTTTGTGGGCCCATATTCAAGAGGAGAATGCCAAACAAGAAAAGACCGAAAGGGAGAACATTCAGCAATTAACTACCCTAATTACCAACTGCATTAATAAGGATATACCTGCTGCAGTAGAGAGGACAATTAAGAAGGAGATATCTGCAGTTGGTCAGGTTTTGGCTCGAGCAATCACCCCTAGCATTGAAAAATGCATTTCGTCAGCTATAGGCGACTCTTTTCAGGTTGAATTTCACTTCTATTGTTACTGTATTTATCATCAAGTTTTCTTCTATCCTAAACCAGTGGATGCTCTTTTCCAGAGAGGGGTTACAGATAAAATAGTCAGCCAGCTTGAGAAAACTATTGGTTCTAAGCTGGAAGCTTCATTGGCCAGGCAAATCCAGTTACAATTTCAAACTTCTGGCAAACAGACTCTGCAGGTATAATAATCTTAACTGAAATTCGGCTGTTTCACTTGTTTCTTCATTTATTAATGCGAATTATTATTATTATTATTTATAACTCGACTGAGTATAAATGTTCTGGTATCTTTTTATTTTTGTAAATTTGGAATCCTAATTTTGTTTTCATTTTTCTCTTTCTTGTGGAAAATTCAGGATACGCTCAAGTCTAACCTGGAATCATCAGTGGTTCCTGCATTTGAGAAATCTAGCAGAGCTCTGTTTGAGCAGATAGATGAAGCCTTCCAAAAAGGTTTAACTGATCATAAGGCCGCGGCTCAGCAGCAGTATGAGTCCGCACATACTCAACTTGCAATAACTTTGAGGGTATTTTATAATATAGCATCTATATTTTATTATTTCTCGTAAACTTCCTACCAGAAGAAATTTTCGCTAAAACTTCTTAAATTAGACTAAGGAATTCGAGTAAAAGTTTACCAAAATCATCCAACCACGAATTTCTTGTCTACAGGATTCAATTAACTCTGCATCATCCATCACCCATAATCTTGTCAGTGAGTTAGCTGATGGCCAGCAAAAGCTCTTAGCCCTCTTTGCTGCAGGAAACACAAAAGCTAATCCCATTGCAAAGCAGCAGAGCAATGGCCCATTAGGCCATCCTGATATGGTAATAATTGTGTTTTTGACCCACCTTTTAATACAATGTAGCAAACCAAAAAAAAAAATAAAAAATAAAAAACCTATTTTTTTTTCAGGCATTGTCTGTCCAGCAGATTGAGGCCCCCGTTGATCCCACGAAGGAGCTTACAAGACTGATATCTGAACGCAAATTTGATGAAGCATTTACAATAGCTCTACAGAGAAGTGATGTTTCTATTGTGTCTTGGTTATGCTCACAGGTATACTTCTGATTGCTTGTTTTAGGTCATGTCTTCTGCTGAATTTTGGCCACTTGGCAGTTTTTATTTTAGGAGATGTTTGGTTTAATTTTACATGGATAAAAATGTTATTTGGAATGTCATGCTTTTGGATCAACTTTATCTTATAAACAACGTAATGTTACTTTGAATAATCAATGGTTGTCAAAAGCTATATTGCTATTCATTTAGCTTTCAAATAGCATCATATCTAGATGTTACCATATTTGGCAGACATCTTGACATCATCAAAATACAACTAAGATATAATTTAAAAATTGCTATAAAAAATGCCCATAATTCAAATAGCTGACATCTGCATATTTGGCAGACATCTTGAGATCATCAAAATACAACTAAAATATAATTTAAAAATTGCTATAAAAAAATGCCCATAATTCAAATAGCTGACATCTGCTAATCCATCAATGAACCGAATCACGAGTTAACCTAGGGGTATGTTTTTGATGAGACCCATCGCTGGGCTAGGGATAAACATCCATTCTAGTTCACTACAACTCTAGAAATTGGATGGTGGAGATAAAGAAATCAGAATTCCAGATTTGAGGAGGCTTACGTCATTCTTTCGTTGATGCCCTATTGCCTCTAAATGGAGGAAATTTATAGAAATATATTACTAGTAAACAGGGGCGGAATCAACCTTAATTTTCAGGGGGACAAACTTATAAGTAGAAGTGTAGAGGTTTCGTAGATATGCCGCTGCCCCCTGACGGGGTGGGGGCAATTGACTAAAAACCCTTATAATAAAGACTAAAAAGTAGATGATGAGGGACAAACTATCTATAAAAATCATACAATTGCCACCCCTGGGCTTTAGATAGATCCGCCCCTGCTAGTAAATATTCATAAACCACCTATGAGCATGTAATACATATTACATACCTATAAACTACAATGATTCGCAAAGACTCATTCCTCTAATCCTACTCCACCCCTTCAAATTTATTGCCCATACAATTTTCTATGTGCATTATATTATTTATATTTGCGGCCAACTTGTGCAGGTAGATCTGCATGGGCTTTGTTCCATGGCTCCACTCCCGCTCAGTCAAGGCGTCCTGCTCGCCCTTCTTCAGCAGCTCTCCTGTGACATCGGCGCGGAAACTCAGCGTAAGATCAGCTGGATGACTGACGTCGCCGTCGCCATCAACCCCACAGATCCCATGATCACATCCCATGTTCGCCCCATATTCGAGCAAGTTTATAACAGACTTATACACCAGAGAACACTCCAGACAACCACAGTTGCTGAAGCTTCCAGCATTCGGCTCATCATTCATGTCATAAATTCTGTCTTAATGACCTGTAAATGAATGTCTTAGGCTTGCCTTAGAAGGGTCAGAAGAGCGGCATATTTGATGTAAAATAGGCTGAAAGAATGTGAACTTTATGTTTCATTATTTTCTTTCCTTTTTGTTTTTTTAGGGTTCCCATTGCATAATTTTAGACTCGTTTGCCTGATTCCAGAGGAGTCCATTTTCATTGTAATTCTCATGAAGTTATTGAGTTATTATGAATTATGTTATATTGCTTGTATAGCAAATTTTCGCAAGGGATGATTATATATATATATAATAAATGCTTTGTTTATATTTCATATTATGGATTGCATTGCCTTGTTCTTTTGTCTTTATTAAACTCTTCTATCTTGTAAAAATGTATGATGTTGGTTTTCACAAATAAGAACTTTAGCTATGGATTGTTGCTGCTTCTTCATGCTCTTTTTGGATTTTGACAATTAGATTTCGTTTGGGATAGCTTTTATATTGCTTTATAAAACAATTTTTAGTATATAAAAAATTATTTTATAAAGCAGGAAGAAAGATGTCTCAAATGAAGCCTTAAGATGGAAGCTTTTCTTTCTCTTTAGCTTTGCTAAAACTGTGAGTGTACATGATTTAATTATTTAATTTAATTTTTATTATTTTTGTAAGCCCTTCAGATTATGAATTTTTGTTCTCTTTAGCTTTTCAGATTATGAATTTTTTTTCTCCATAAGGGCTCACATCGAACTTTTGTTGCCCCCATCTATATAAGTCATCATTGTAATTATGTCCTTATTAACTGGACATTTTTCTTAAGATCAGTATATTTCATAATTGAATATTTAAATACATATATCATTCATTAGGAACTTGCTAATCAATTATTTTTTCATTAAAATTTGGGGCTTTTTTCCAGCTCGTTAGCATTAAAATTTAGTATTATCTAGTTTCTTATAAAGTCAAATTACTCCACTTTTATTTCTCCATAAGGGCTCACATTTATTTTTTTATCATAAATATCTTTACACCGAATCAATTTGTCGAATAGGAAGAGAGTTTTTTAACATTATCAATCTATTACTTATAACCCCTTATCAATTTGAAGTGGGTCTTAGAGGTCTGTGTACATGAAAATAACACATAATTTTTTTTTCTTTGGAGCGCTACAGTGCTGGATTGTGGTGCTATGGGGTTAAGCTCTCTGATTGGTCGGCGCTACAATAGAGCTATCTGGACTGTCGTAGCGCTAGATAAATTTTTTATAAAAATGTAAAATTTCACTTAAAACTCATTTGGTTCAAAATTAAACCACCCTAGCTGCATGTTAGAGAGAGAGAGAGAGAGATTTTAGAGAGAACCCATTTCAGGTGACTCCGATCCATTTTTTACTATCGGTTTAGTTTGAGTTGTCCAAATCGATGTAGGTTACACTATTTCTATCTCGCTTGTTAATAATGTGACATTTTGGAATTTTCCTAATTAAATTTATAAATTCGAGTTACTTAAATGGGGATAATTCATTTCCGCTAAATTTTCAGTGCGTAACTTTCTATATGTTATATATAAGAGTATTATGAATATCTTAATATTTTTTCTATAAAATTTTGTTGAGTAAATTGAAGAGTGCGCTTGATACGTCATCATGAAATTATCTTGATCGGGCACGAATCTCGAGGCAAAAAACCAACCATAAAACTTCAAAAATGAAATCCGGAAGCACCTGAACTCCGATTTCAGCAAGCTTATAGTCAAACTGAGCAACTCGGAAATACGAACCCAACGACACCAAATTCAACTCGATCTGAGCCCAAATGAGCCCAAATCAAGAACCCGAAGTGCTGTTTGAAAGCTCGTACCACAAATTGAGTTACCAAACGGTCTCTGATTTTAACTAGCTTATAGTCGAATCAAATGGCTCGACGAGACGAATCCAACGAGTTCAAGATCATCGAATTCCAACATCACTAAGGCCTTCAAATGTCTGACAAACGGTGCACAATCAAGGGATTCAATATCAACCGTCCATTCGACCACTCCCTATTTGACTGATCTCACGCCTATTTACGAGCTATGCCACTCTAGAAAAATTAGAAATAGAGCCCTCATTCTTCACAAGAGGGAACCCAAGCAAGGAAGAGGAAGAAGAAGATAAGAATAAGAGAATAGGAGAAGGAGAATCAGCTCCTCCTCGACCACCGCCGGAATTCTTTCCGCCGCCTGAATACGCCGGAATCCTACCAGATTTTCGGGAGACGCCGGAATTCTGCAAAACTTTGTAACTTTGTTTCAATTTAGAAGAAATTGATTGTAATATGATAGTCCTGACATGTGGGACGAATCAACCTCTGTACTTCAAACAAACACTAGTGGAATTACTTCAACTGGGCGCGGCCTCGTGGTTTTTCCCCTTTTAGGGTTTTCCATGTAAAAATCCTAGTGTTTTTTTATCTTTTGTTTGTGTGTGCTGAATATTCGTACAACGCTCGGACGTAAAATTACAAACTCTACCGCCACATATATTCTAGCCCGCAACAGCGCTATTTCTAGCAAATTAGAAAATAATTTTGACCTCAAAAATTAAAATTGTAGATCATTTAAAACTTCAAAATAATGTTTTGAACAATCCATAACAATCTGATGAAATTCTTAAAATTTGCTTGATTTTTGAACCGGTTGGCTGCTAGTATAACATTCTAAAATTTTGTGAAATTTAATTTTTTTTATTTCTTTTATGTCATTGCAATTATATACGCGCTTATATGCTTGAAATGTATGATTTTGAGAAGCTATGATGTTGGATAAAGATATGTTATGTTAAATACTCATAAAGCTTTAAGGGTATGAATTTTTGAATATTTGATAGGCTAAGTATTTAGAAGTCATAAGAGCATATTTTCTGATAAGCTAACATAGGGACTCATAAGGATCTGAATTCTAATGTATGTTTTTGATATGAGGCATAACGGCATGAGGGAATACTGTTACTTCTGCTTTTATATATGAAATACTTGTCTATTTACTTTCAATACAAAATTTGCTTAATTTGTATTATCTATTATTACTACTAGTTTATGTACAATAGCATGCTATTAACTGCTTCTAATTCAATAAAGGTATAATGAGTTAATTATTAAAAAAATTAGTTAAATGGATTGAAACCAAGATTAAATAAAGGTAATATATATATATAATTCTTTTCTTATTTTTTTCTCTTTTTGAAAACCAAGATCAAACCAAAAATAATAACCACAATCCTCTTTCAAAAATATGATCACAATCAATTCTAAGTGTAGTTAAGTAAATCACGAGGAAAAGTAAAGTGCAGTAAGTAGGAAAATGTATACTAAAATTTACAGTGATTCAGTCAACTTGATATATAAATATTCTACAAAGGTCCTCTTTGGAAATTGTACTAAACAATGACTCTCCTTCGGCACACAGCTAGGCATAGAAGGCATTCTCCCTAACTACAGGTGGAGAATCACCCTTAAACACTCTTCACACCTGAAGAATCTCCTCCTATCACCTCCACAGCCCGACGGAGTTGTCATCCCTCCTTTCATCTCCAAGCTCGTAGAGATGCTGATCCCACTTTTTGCCCCCAAGCCTGACAAATATACTAATCCCTCCTTTCGCCGAAATTTCTGTCGGATAAACCATTAGTAACAGTGACTCATAAACGATGAATATCGCCACTGTATTCCATCGAAATTCCATTCAATGAATTCATCGAAAATATATTCGATGAAAAACAAGGTTTACAATAGGGCTGCAAACGAACTAAGCCGAGCCGAGTATGTGAATGTTCATGTTTGAGTTCTTTTATTATCAACTTGTTCAAGTTCAGTTTATGTTTGATTCGTTTAAATTAATCGGTATTCATATTCGGTTAATGTCAAGTTCATTTAGTGATTATCGAGCTTTAAACAAATAAGCCTTAATGAGTTATGTTCATGAACATATTTAACAAATTTTTTTAAACTATCATACTAGCACGTCCATGAACAAATCGAAACAAACATAAAAATAATTATAATTAAATAATATATATTATCAATTTAATAAATATGTAAAAAAAATTTTAGTTAGCATATATTATAAGTTTTAATTACTTTAAAGTTTATTAATTAAAAATAATTATATCATTATATTATAATAAATTTAAAATATTTATATTATGTATATTTATCAATTTTATAATTAAATATTAATATAGTTTGTATTGAGGTTATTTAAGAGTTCTGAATCGAAAACGAACAAACTTCTTATTGAGCTTAATGTCAAGTTTGTTCATGAGTTTCAAATGATGTTGTTCGTGAACATAAATGAGTCGAACACATTAATGTTCAAGCTTATTTATTTAAAGATCGAGTATTTAAAATATTATTCAAGTTTGTTTATTTAGTTAATTAAAATATCACAAAAGGGCTTTAATCGAACCAAGCAACAGCTAGCTCATCAAATGCTTGGTTCGTTTGCAACCCTAGTTTCCAATGCTCGTTTTACCGTTGACTTCATTTCTGTCGGAAATGCACATTTTTGACAAAATTTTTTTATTTCCGATAGATTTGAGCCGCTAGTATCACACGATTTTTCTGTAGAGGTGATAGATCTCATTAATTTAAGCATTTTGATAGGAACAAATTGCATTTTCATCAATTAAATTGGAAGATTTAATTTTTTTGAAGTAAATACATAGTGGATAAATTTGATAGTTTTTTCTTCATTTTATGAATTACTACATTTCATGCATTTTATATATGACATTTACAAAAATATAGCATTTGCATGTAAGGGAGGCAAGATGAAAGGTTGGTTATTAACATGAATGATAAAGAATGATATCAATTGATAGACAGTCGGGCCCAATTAAGATTGATGTCCAACTGGACAATAATTGAGGTAGACTGATACTAATTGGTTTACAATTGGGCCTAATTAAGACTGATACCCAATTGGACGACAATTGGGGTTGACCAACACCTATTAATTGACAGTTGGTCATTATTAAAATTGATATCCAATTGGACAATAATTGCGGTGGAAAAAAAATTTGCATGCATGATTGTATTTATATGAAACTGCATTAGATTGATTGATAGATAAAGTTAAAATAATACTGATAGAATAAAAAATAGCATATTGGTATTATTCATTAGGTGATAGTACCTTTTATCGTATGTCTTATAATTTAATTTATTTCTTTTAACTTTAGTGATCATATTGATTTTATTAGTAATTTTTAATATTTTTATTGCTCATATGATCGATATTGAATAGAATTGAACATATATATTGATTCTTTTACTTAGCACATTGAAAGAATGATAGAGTTTTGGTTTCATATTAGAATTTTTTGCTCATTATGTAAATTTTAATGATTTCAGGTCAGAACAGGAGTCAGGATGGTTAGCATCAATACTCATAAAGATTATCAAGTTCTTTAAATTTTATTATATATTTTTTTATTCTTTTATAGTTTGGAGTTTCTGATAAATTAGTGATTATAATGAATTTATTTTGATGAATGAATAGTAAAATATATTGATGTACATAATTTTAGTTTCTTAATAATAATGATTTATAAAAGCGTTGATATGTTCTTAAAATAATAAATAGATAATTCTTTAAAATTTAATCTTTGGGAGTTCCAAATTGGAATCAAAGCGGTTATTGGAAGAATTGGATTGTAAGAAGAGATATAAAAATTAATGTTTGAGCAAGGTAGAAGTTGGATAGTATAGATTTTCATTTCTGCATTTGATTGAATTGTATATGTATGTATGTTGAGTTTGTGAATTAATTGATTAGCAAAAAAGGATTTTATTAGTGAATGAATATACCTAATGGTCAAAGTGCAGTAGCAGCTCCAGTAAGTTGTAATAGTTTGATGCAGCTTGCCAACATACTTGCTAGACTGGAAGCAGCAAATGTAGCTCTGTTGCTGCAGAACTCTTCGACTGTAAGCAGCAAAAGCTCTCTCTGAGCCTGAAATTTGTGTTAAAAAGCAGATCTAGCCAAGGAAATGGAGATGGGAATATTGATGAAAATTACATAGAAGAATAACATAAATTAAGACTTGATTAATTAGAAAGTTTGCTTGTACCAACTACCAAGGCCTGCCATGGCGCATGATCTCCGTCCAACAGTTTATACACAAGCTGACAACAATGTCTTCGATTTCTGGCTATACAACCCCAAACTAACACAAACATTGTCAAATGAGGATTATACTGCAAGGCATAAATATATATATAAATATATAGAGCCAAGCAGCCATGATAAAACAGGGATGACTACCCAAATTATCACGGCGAAACTAGTATCCTTCGAGACACTTCTAGACCGACGCGCCAGTACCCATGCCCTCCGATGGCATCGAGACCTGAGCAATAAGCCAGGACGGCAAAGCCCGGCATATGAGAATTGCCGGTGACCATTAAATGTAGAAGGACAACAACATGGACTACACCACCATATTAATGCCCAACTTCACCCCCTTGTCTTTGCTCTCTTCATGCCAAGGCTGTTATTGAAAGGGGATACAGAGCCAGACATGTGTGAGCCTTCTTCACGGAGTGTGCCATTCAGCATTGCTAGTTCCCGGAGCTGTTGCTTTTTTATGAAATCTTGTGATTCATCCTAATTATGAGACTTAGAGAATTCAGATTTGAGGTGAAATTGAGAAAGAAAGTAATCGAAATGGACTTTTGACTCTTTATGAAGGATCAAAAATAGCCCCTAAGTATATAAAATGATCATTTTGGTCCCTCAAATATTTAAAGAGAATTCAAATTAATCTCATGATGAGACTATTTTGATTAATCTTTAAGGAGTTTTGGGAAACATTTTGATCTTTTTCTCAAATGGAAAAAGTTTAAAATTAAATGCTTACAACAGGTTTAATCAGCTCTGCAAGGATATCTCGAGCTTGAATCAGGCGAGAGTCGATGATTTCTACTGGCAACTCTGCTTCTATTAGTATGTGAAGGGGCTCATTCAAGTGTTCATACCCTGGTTTTCCTCTCATCATCTCCTCCTGTCGTGCAATCTTATTAGTAGCATATTTAGATGACCATATACAGGAAAAAGAAAGGAAATTTTTGCACCGCAAAGAACACATTCCAATATATTTAAAAAAATGGTCAGAGTTCATACATCCTTCATTCAAAAGATTTTAAAATTTCAATTTCAAGCAGTTGGTTTGCTAGGTTGATTCATTCATCATAGTTCGTATCTGGCTTGCATAAGATCTGTAGGAAATAACTTTATACGATCACAACAAATGAGGGAAAATGTTGAAGATATCTAGGGGGAAACTTGAAAATGAATTAGGGAATTCCAAAGTCAGAATAAATGCAAGCTAAGGAGTGTGATTTCTAACCTTCATATTTGGCTGGTGTATGGTGGATAGCAGGCCATTGAGACTGATTAATATAACAGACTGAAATAAAGCCAGTACTTCATTTTGTCTCTCTAACATCTAACCTAATGAGTAATGACAGACTATTTCTATTCTGGGAAATTTCAGAGTATAATACAGTCACGTGCAAGGGACTATGAATCATGGAGAGAACAAGAGGTAAGGGTCCTGTTAGAAATCATGATATCATGTCGACGTTTTCCATATCTCATTATTTAATTTTATAAGAAAATTTAAACACCTTATAGGCAACTCAAGGACGCTTATTGATCCCTCTTGGCACAACCTGAACACATTTCAGATATGTCTTAACATGAATTTTATTCTGCTCTAATTAATAAGAACTATGAATTTACATATTTTATTTAGAGGTCTTGAGAAATAATGATAACTATAGTTTTGCTCTATAATCTGTAAATATTTTATCAAAAATCTACCAGAATTGATAAGAATTTTTAATTTACAAATATTAAAACATATAATTTTATTTTGCCCATCCCACAACCATGTCTTGTATCTTGCAAAAAGTGTGAAGTTCCAGTTTGTGTCCATGCATCTTTGAAGGGAAGCAACAAAAAAACCAAAAAAAAAGTGTCAGATAAAGAATAAAGATGAGGCCGGATGGGCCAAACAGCATTATCAGCAACAGCTTTCATAGTCATCACATGCTCAAGTTCTACACTACAGCTCAAGTAGCCATTAGTAGCAACTAATCTCAAAGCCACCATTGCAATATATGCAACTGGCCTGCTGATTTCCTAAAAGATGGATCGAGAAAGACCTAATAATTGACAGGCTCAGGTTGATGTTGTTTAAATTATATTAAAATCCGTATCCTATTCCAGATGAATCAACTTTCAACTTGTGCTCAATTTGAATCAAAGATACAGTTAAAATTGAATTCAAAGTTGTCTTTTTTTTTTTAAATCAGTGAGAGAAATAGTAAATTTAGGGGGGGGGGGGGGCGCATATAGGCAACGCAGATATAGTCATACCAAAGGTGTTGTGAATCTACAACAGTAATATGTTAGGTTACTACAAATAAACTTGGGGAATCAACCGACAACAGCTCAAGGAATGGAATGAGCTGTACCTAGTTGTAATGTTTCTATCAAACATATGAATTGTACATAGTAAGTTCAAAGATAATTGATTTCAAGAATGTTGTTACATTGTAATTTTTTAAATACCATAAAAAATAAGAGCTGTGGTTTAAAAGGTGGTAAAAAGAATGATTTCTAGAGTCAGTTTTCTCTTCTTCCTCCTTCACCTCAATGTCCCTTCTAGATTTGAGCAGCTTGAAATTCCTAAGATATTGAGTACTAAGATCGTATCAATGGTACTCTTGTTAAACTTTGTGGCAGCCAAATATATCTTGCACAAGCAGATCTCCACCGATTGCTAGATACGTCTTCTTGTGTTCAGCCTCACAATTGCCGTGACATCTCCAATATTTGTCATTCGTTGTCGCCCCTAGCAACTCATTCCCTCATGAACCCTGTGGTCATCCTCGATGCATAACACCTCAGACGCATCTGATCTTAACCCAAGACATGATATCCTCATCTCCACTTCTTCTGTTTCACAATCCATTTTTTCCAGTAAAAAATTGAATGCAATGTCAAATCCGTGCAAAACTATTCCTTTGTTGATGCCTCTATTAGTGCCCCTTCCAGATTGCCCGATCTGCACTACCCAATCCCCATCGTCAATCTTAGCCCCATCAACTAAATCAACATGGACCTCGCATGATTCTCAAACCCACGTCAACTCCAAATCTAACTCCCACATCAATTATTAGAAAGCTCGTTGATCACCTACGTCCTAGCCAACCCTGACAAAATGCAAAGCTGAATGGGACGGGGCTCATTACCGCAACAAAAAAATATTTCCCATTTAGTGATACAATCAATCAACAAAAGCAAAAGGTATTATTTTTATTGGATTTGTTTGTTGGTGCCTCCTACAACAAGCATGAATTCTTGATTGCAACACCAACCATGGTGTTAGGAATGCGAAAGGCATCAAGGTCTTGGAAGCATTTGTGAATAGGGTGAAAAAAGTTGAGAAACAATTGTCATCAATCACTTTGATCATAAATGGCATCACAAGACGTTGGAGCAATAGTTGCAAGCTAAACCAATAATGGAAGGCCGTGTGATGTGTAATTCAGATATGTTATTGATGACAACTTCTTAGATGTTTTCTTCCGCAACTTCAAGAACCACAAAAATGGGTATATCACATTCTAATGGGAATGCTATACAAGAATGATTTTTCAGGGTTGATTAGTTATTTTCCCACTGCAATATATTCAACAAGCAACGTTTTATAAATGCATTGATGCATAAGAATGGCCTAGCATAGTGTTTGTACCACTGAACGTATCTGAACAAATAGCCAAATTCATGATATTTTTTTCCAAAAAAAAATAAAATAAAATGTTTTGGTCATTCCCTTAAGATCATCTAACTTGTTTTTGGAGAACAGCCTTTGTATAATGTGGACCCAAACATCATCATGATGCTTACTGATTTCAATGAAAAAATACCTATTGCAAGTCCTTTTACAGAAGAAGCTATACAAGAGTTGGTGGTGCAAACGATTATGGCACTACAACTTGTGCAAAAGAGAGATCATGTAGAGTTTAGGCTAGAAACATTCATGGTTATCAAGGGGATAGACTCGAGGAGGTATAGCTAGATGGAGAACCGGTACATGCATAGTTGACAATAGTCCTGCCTACTTTTCCTAGCCCACAGCTATTCCATGGCTATCCCACTTTGAATTTTTTTGTCTCATACCTCAGTGCAAACTTAAGTGCAAGTTTGTTGTTAAAAATGAGTAATGTTGTGAACGCATGCCATATTACTACTACAAATAAATTGGCAGAAAATAGCTAGAGGAATGGAATGTGCAATGATTAGCTGTTGTAATGTTTGTATCAAACATATAAATTGTAATTATTTATTTAGAAGATAATTGCTTTCAAGAATGTTGCTACATTGTAATTCTTTGAAAACAATAAATAATAAGAGATGTTGAACAAGGAGCAAAAATAATTATTTCCCCATTAGAGTTTTCTGTTTGTCCCCCGTAAAACATAAGTGCAGCTTTTAGAATATGAGTGGCTCAAAATCAATGGGATAATTATGGGGTTCTTATCAATAGGAGAGTAAGAAGTATAAAAAAGCCAACATTAGTTTGAAGCATGAAAAGGAAAATATCCATTCTCCCCATCTTGCTCTTAAGAGAATTACATAAAAATCATTACTAGGAGGCTAAATGGGCATGATTTGGTGTGTCATGAGTTTGATAGGAGGTTGCAAATGGAATGATAGATGGAGAGAATCCCAGATAGTAGAAATTGGGATTATGTATTTCTTGTTTCTATCTAAACTGGACAATTAACTGTTTAAATTAATGATTTGTGAACAGCAAATTTAGGAAAAAATAATTAATTGTCCATTTAGATAAAACCAATACTACAACTACAAGCCTTTATCCCACAATGTAGGGTCGGCTACATGAATTCTTTTTTTCCATTATGTCATGATAAGAGTCAAATTTTCATCTAAATCTAATAAAGAAAGGTCATTTCTAATAATTTCTAACCAAGTCTTTTTAGGTCTACCTCTATCTTTCTTAACATAAGTCAAATCTAATATATTTTCCTAACCAAGTCATAGAAAGGTCGGCATTTTATGTGACCAAACCATCTAAGGCGACTCTCTCTAATATTATCTTCCACTGGAGCTACTCCAACCTTTTCACATATATGCTCATTTCGCATCCCATCTCTAAGAGTAAAGTCACACATCCAACTAAGAAACCTCATCTCTGCAACACTTAACTTAATATTATGCTTCTCTTTTAATGGCCAACATTCTGCACCATAAAGCATTGCAGGTCTCGCTACCATCTTATAGAATTTTCCCTTAAGTTTGAGAGGGACTTTTCTATCACACAACAAGTCTGATGCATTCCTCCACTTCAACCATCCAACTTGAATTTTACTAATAATATCCTCATATATTTCACCATCACTCTGAACAATAGATCCAAGATATCTAAAATATATACTCTTATTAATTACTTGATCGCTCAAAGCCAATATCCCCCCATTGGATCTATTATTACTAAAATTACACTCCATTTAGATAAAAACAATAAATAATTAAAAATCTATCCAAATACTAATTTAATAGAAATCTAGCATACAATTCAAATGCATAAAATAATCACACATTCGATTGGAAATCACACCATTATAAAATATTAAAAAAAAATAAATTGCGCATTAATTGAGAATATTCAATCATGCAAGTAGCCCATAACTAAAACTAAAGAATACAAATAGAACAAAGGAAATAAGTTGGCAAATAATAATCTAGGCTTCACATAGATACAAAATACCAAATCCGATAAAGGATGTATTCGTGTTTATGATTTCAAATGCAAATTTAGGATAGGATGCACAATTTCAAGTGCATAAATCTAATTTCTTGTACTCAAACCAATAAATTAAATAGCTTCTCATCCATTTTGATGATAAACTTGAAGTACATAAAAAATTACACAATTGATAATTTAGCAACCACCTAAGAGATATCTCA